TGCCCTTCTGGCCACACTTCTCTTGACATCTAAATTCATATAGCAGAAGAGGAAACTCTGAATTCTTGATACCTTAAAGAGAAATCTCTCTCTTATGGATCATCTGATTGAAGCCTATTTCAGTATTAGTGCTTTCTATACAGCAGTGTCCATTTTGCATTTAGGTTCTATCACTTTCAGAATTCATTACTTGATGTTAAATCACAGTTACTGAGAGTAACCTTTAATCTCTCTGTTCTCAAAGCTTTTTGTCATCCTTCAACATATGCTTTGTGTGATTTCGATGAAGCAGAGTTTACACAGTCCCACAGGTCACTAATGATAATGGATAACACAGAACCCAGTGCCAATTCCTCTGAAGTCCCAGTTGATGTATTGCTCCCTGTTTGGAAGCTGTATAGTTGCTACTTACTTGCTTCATGATCCACCAGCCATTTTTTATGTCTGCTATGGTTTTTTTACCAACACAGTAGTTCTTTAGTCAGCAGCTGTGCAGTGCCTGGTGTTGGTGCAGAGACATATGGTTCCTTTCAACTAATACAGACAATCCTTCAGCTCCAGTTAATTCATTTTTAGTTAGTGACTTCATTACCTAATTGACCATTTGGAATATTTTTTTAAATACTTTATCAATAAAAATCCTGCTTAATTTTTTCTGTGATTTTCTGGATCTGATAGCTACATGAATAGATTGTTAATTTTGAATGGCTTTCTGGTGATATCTTAGAAAATTAATAGAATACCAGAATAAAAAAGAATCCCATTTTTTCTCCATTTCTATTTTCAGCACAGAAGGTCAGGCTAACAGAAAATAGGAAGTTAGGAGCTACCACGGGTGATTTGTCTCTTAAGATGTCAAAACCTCTCTTTGAAGAACAACCCTAATAAAGTGATGGTGCTCAAAGAGAGTTTGTGCTCAAAGAAAGATTGTGCTCACGTGCTGTGCTGAGTTTGGCTGGGGAAGAGTTAAATTTCTTCATAGTAGCTAGTATGGGGCTATGTTTTGAATTCGTGCTGCAAACAGTGTTGATAATTCAGGGATGTGTAGCTATTGCTGAGCAGTTCTTACACAGTGTCAAGGCCTTTTCTGCTCCTCATGCCACCCCAGCAGCGAGTAGGCTGGGAATATGCAAGAGGCTGGGAGGAAACACAGCCAGAACAGCTGACCCAGACTGACCAAAGGAATATTCCATCCCATATGACGTCATGCTCAGCAACAAACTAGGAGGAAGGTTGGCCAGGGGGGCTGCTGCTCAGGGACTGTCTGGGCAGCTGTCGGTTGGTGGTGAACAGTTGCTTTCATTTGCATCACTTGTCTTTCTTGAGTTTTATTTCTTTCTCTTTGTTATTTTCCTTTTCATTACAATATTTTTTATTATTGTTATTCATTTCAATTATGAAAATGTTCTTTATCTCAACCCACAAGTTTTCTCACTTTTACCCTTCCAATTCTCTTCCCCACATCCTGCTGCGGGTGGAGTGAGCAAACAGCTGTGTGGTGCTTAGTTGCCGGCTGGGGTTAAACCATGACACATGAGCACATAGTGATTGAAAGAGCGG